ACTGCAAAGGAGCCCTCAGAAGAAAAGCTATCCAACCCAGAAAAGCATAAGGCAATCAGGTTCTCAAACACAGGATTTTGAGCCCTCTGACCAAAACCCCTCCAACCAGACCTGTCAGTGGAAAAATGTATTATCTGGACAATAGGCCCAGCAGGAGCCTTAAGTCCAAAAGCCCTCCAACCCAACTCAGCACCAGGGAAAGGAGCCACCTGGAACCTGGGATAAAAAGGGGAGTCTTCTACTGCTGTACAGAAAATGGCAACAAAGTCTCCACAACACCAGCCCCAATAGATGCCCTGAGACCATGACACCACCAACCCAGTGGCACACTGGGCAAAGGAGTGCCCTGGACACTGGGTTGAGGGGGAGTCCTCTATCTGGGAGCTCTTCAGCCCAAGAAAGCAGAGGGCAATTGAGTCCTCAAAACACTGGGCCAAACAGGAAACTTCACACTCTCCAACTCAGCTTGGCAGTGGGCAAAGGACTCACTTGGAAAACAGGATGACTGGACTCCCTCCAAATGAGGGCCCTTTAACTGAGGAGACAGCTGGCAAATGAGTCCCTAGAACACCAGGCCCACTGGGAGATCTGGGACCCCAAGCCTTCTGTTTCAGCTTGGCACTGGGCTGAGTCTCTCAGACATCAGGCTGAGCATGAGAACTCTGAGCCAAAACCCTCCAACCCCACAGAGCACAGGACAATTGGGTCCCCAGAACACAGGTTGGCTGGGAGCCCTCTGGTCATGACTCCTCCAACTCAGCTCTACACTGGGCCAAGAAGTCTCTAGAACAGTAAACTGACTGGAAGCCCTTTAACTAAGGCGACCCCAGGACAAGTGAGTCACCAGTGCCCAAGGATACACTTCAGCTTAAAGTCCTTGTAGCTAGTCACCTGGGTAGCCCTCATCTTTGTGAGAATTATCCTCAAGAGAAAAGGATAACAGGCACCTGGGTGGCTCAGTTGGTTAAGCGACGGCCTTCGGCTCAGGTCATGATCCTGGAGTCCCTGGATCGAGTCCCACATTGGGCTCCCTGTTTGGCAGGGAGTCTGCTTCTCCCTCTGACTCTCCCGACCCTTCCCCCTCTCATGTGCTCTCTCTCTCAGTCTCTCAAATAAATAAATAAAATCTTAAAAAAGAGAGAGAAAGAGAGAGAGAGAGAAAAGGATACCAAGCCAAAAAGCGGAGTCAAACCAAAAGTTTGGAGAGTTTGAAATAGAACCCATAGCAGGAGATGAGGTAGGGGGACAGGAGGGGCTTGTAGAAGAGACCCCAGGCCCTGAGAACAGAGGACTCATTGGCAAAGGTCCTCCAGATGAAGGAGAGGTGCTCCATCCTGGAAGAAGAAGTGGAGACCTTAGAAAAACAAGTCAAGTAGTGGGGTGAGAAGCAGGCTCAGGTCTATGAGGTGGAGATATTCTTTGGGTACATCAAGGACTTGCTGGAAGTTTTGCCTCCCAGGCAACATCATGCAAGTGGTGATGTCCCAGCACCCTCCCATCCAAGATGACATAAATGTGGAGCTTGGAAAAGTTTGGTCATCTCCAGGAGTGAGAGTTTTAATATTTTTCAGAGGCCTAAATAACTTAAAACCATTATTTCATAATGAGTCCAGGAAACAACCCCTGGGTGACTGTGATGTACAGCCTGGGTTACCGTCACTACTGTGCCTTATAAGTCATCACATTCTCCAGTTGGTTGGCAGGGGCCTCCACAGCTCTGAGAAAGTGTCAGTGAATTATGCAGAGCTGACCCTGAGCACAACCTTCCGATCCCCATCAACACTCTCAGACATCCTGTTTTGTAGAAATCAAGGTCAGCTGCTGAGGTCATCCCCATTCCGAAGGAAGGAAAAAATAAGCTGTAATGTCCATATATAGGTATTTCTACAAAAATGATTTATGTCCCTAGCCCCATCACACATGCTCTGGCAAATTGGAGTTTGGACTCTGGCATGAAGTTTCCAAACTCTGGTCACCAGAGCTAGTATTTCCTGACTGCATGTCCCTGTGTGATGCGGACCTCTGAAGAGTAAATGTGACAAGTTGAGGGAACCAGGCTGGAGGGAGGCCAGAAGCAGGGGACCATTCCCTGCCTCTGGATGATTTCCTGTGGGTGAGGTACGTACAGACTGGAGTGAGGAGCCTGGAGTGTGGGCTTTCTGCTCTGAGTCACAGAAGCACTGCAGAAGTTGGAGGAGACACAGATTACTACTTGCTGCTCCATGTGGAGAGGTGGATGGACAGAGTAAAGAAGAGAAGGAGACAGGTAGGAAGAAGTGGGAACAGGTGCGCATGGAATACTCAGGTGTCTGTGGATATGGAGGAAGGTGTCTACCTCTAATAGGCAGAGCTGAGATTCTGCCATTCATTGGACAGAAGGAAGGAGGAAAGTAAGGTTCCAGGTTTGTCTTCTCCCTAGAGATTATCCCTTAACCTCAATACACGATGTGGGAGCTCAAGTGCCTTGTGGATGCTCATGAGCTTGGGTCTGCCTATGACTGTAGTGGAGGTAAGAGAGCCTAGAGCCATGGCCCCTTGGGGGAGCTCAAGGCACTGTGCTCATATCACCTCGGCATGAACTGATTAGAGCCATGAAAAAGCTCTCTCAGGGAAGGTCAAAATGAGGGGGACTTGGGAGGAGAGAGGTTAGTATCTCTAAGATGGATGGTGTCTGATCTTATAGGAGGGCTGCTGCTTTCAGGAGCCAGTGGAGAGGCTGGTGGAGTCCAGGTCACTTGGATTTGAGAGGGAAGTGGATCACAGTGTGATCCCAGAGCTGCAAACCTCTTGTGGCCACCTGCTCAGACCCCACTTACCAGACACATGTTTCTGGACACAGCAGGATCTTGGAGGTGCTGGGCCCCCACTTTGGGGGTGTGAAGCAGAGCAGTTCACCCCTTGAGCCTCCATTCCTTCATCTGTAAAATGTGGGCAACTTTGGGGGGATGGCTGTGTGAGCAGGATGCAGGAGAAGGCAGGGTTGGGGAGGGGATCTACAAGAGCAGGGGACAGATGCTGTCCAGAGGAGGGACAGCAGGCTGTGAACCAGGTCCACACACCTGCAAAGGCGGCAGCGGCGGCAGGTCCAGGCTCCAGGTGGACAGAGAGACGGCAAATCATCCTGCGATTTTAATATAAAAACAGCTTTCTAGAAATAGCCTGCTTCCTCCAAGGATGAAGTAGTCTTTGATACAGATTTAATTTTCAAAACCTTTAAATGTGAGATTTACTCCAGAGGCTGATAAATAAAGCAATAGAGCCAAGGGAATTGGTGAGCCTGGCTCCTGTGGGCCTCCCAAGGACTAGTTCTGTGAGCTGCCAGGACCTGGGCAGGACCAGGAGACCTGGCTAGGCAAACCCTCAGGAGGAGGACCCCTCACACCTTCGGGCAAGCATCTGTGATTGCAGGCATGGCAAATACCTTTGAACCTAATGCTTATTACTTGTTCGCTGCATAGTTTAGTTATATATAAAAGTATATGACTCTAAATCAAGAGAAACTCTTTTGAGCAAAATGGGTTGTACGCTAAAATAAAACCATGTGTAGTCTAAAGGGCTATACTTCTTTGAATAAGAAATTTTAAAACTTCAGTTTACATGATAATATCGAACGAATTCAAACCATTCTTATGACATTCAAGTTCTAAGAGTAGTATCCCATATTGTATTTCCTCCCATACTGCCTTTCATTATATTTTGTTTGTGGTCGCTTTTGAATATACCCAAGAAGCAGGATAATGATTCACTGAACTGGGGTTCAGAGATTAAGTGTCAACCTTTGCCAATCTCATTTATTCAGCACCCACCCCCCATTTTTTTTTTTTTCTGGAGTCTTTGAAACCAAATCTCAGAAATCATGATAACTTCTGTGTCAAATAAGGTTCTGAAAATATACACTTTACAAGGAACCTGTAGGAAAAGCAAAGGAAATGTCTTGCCAGCAAGACAGGATTGAGAAGCCAGAAAGAGGGATGGAATGTCCTGTCTCTGGCTATTTGCCTAAGGCAGCTCCAGGAAGGGAAAGGGCTGTCACGTGCTCTTATTTACCCACAGGTATTGTCAAACGTGCTTTGCATTTCAGGGCAGAGAAGCCCAGGTTCCCTTGGTGAGCAAGGCCCAGCTGGAAGCAGCTGCCTGAGAAGGGCTGCAAGCCTGGTGTGGGGCAGCGGATCCCTGGCTCTGGGGAAGGTTCTTCCTTGTTATCAGCTGTAAACAGATAAGATTGGAGCCAACCCACCCACCAGACCTCCAGTGGAGCTCCTGACTCCCTTTGAGCTGACACAAGGTGTGTGGGAAGTGGGACACCCTGTCCCAGGACTGAAGACCACCCCACCTCTGTGTCCTCAGTACTTCAAACAAGCTCTGGGGGAAATGTTCTGCAACAAATCAGGTGTAAAGGAATTCTCTGAGAGTGCGAAGGCAGTAGTTTTCAATGTGTACTGCCTATTGGGGTCTGAGGGGAAGCTCTGAATCCCTCCTAAAGCCACACCTCAAGGCCTCCTGCTCAGAATCCCTGGGCAGAGCCCAGCATCAGGATTGTTGACGCTGCTCAGGGGACTCCAGTGTTTAGCCAGGACTGTGATTCTGCGGTCTGTGTTCTCGGTGGCTCTGTGCCCCCAGGGCTGGGAGTGCTCCTTTCTTGTCCTTGCATTCCTACCTTGTGGCCTAGGGCCTGATGCATGGTACCACACAATCTGATGGTGTTCTTATGAATAGAGAAATAAGTGGATTATCACACCTCCACCCATTTTTCAGTGAGGAAATTGAGACGTGCGAAGTTCAGAAACTGGCCTGGGGATGTGTGACTATTGGCTGTGTGGAGGCTTGAACCCAGGCTCATCTGATCTACACTCTGGTTTGATTCAAGTTGCTTTATTTTATTATTTAATGTGGACCAGGCATACTATTCTCACTGAGTCACACAGATTGTTCTATTTTAGTGGCATCCATTCTTATGACATAGACATTGATTTCTCCATTTTGTAGGTGAGAACATTGAAGTTTCAAGAGTTGAGGGCTTGGACAGTGTGCCTCACAGCCTTGGCCCAGGCGGTGAAAGCTGAGCTACCCCTCGCAACCAGGACAGTGTGCGGCGCACCCCTGCTGGGGGCTCAGGGCTTCTGCGTGGGCACAGTGGAAAAGACTGGGTGGAGAGTCACTGCCCCAGTTCTGCAGGTAAGGCAGGGCTTTCTAGAGCAGGAAGTATTGATTTACCCCCACGGGGCAGTTACAGGGCAAAGTTACAGGACGTGGGCTCTGGGGGGCAGTGTTGAGAGCACTGCCTGCTAGAGGGAGGGAGGTCTTGTGGGAATGACAAGCAGGACCACCAGGGTCCTTAGGAGGGGTGGAAGGCAGGAGGAGGAGCCGTGGGTGGAGCCAGGTGATGCAGGAGTAACTATGGCATGGAAAGGCCAGACCCTGGGGAAGCTCTTGGATGCTTATGCAGGAAGTCATGAAGACCCCCGTAGGGATCAAGTGGGGATTAAGAGAAAAGAATAAACTCTAAACAGACTTAACGACCAGTATCATTTTTCTCTAATTTTGGAAGATGTAATGTATTCTGATGTTAGGGTCAGGGTGGCCGGTGCCGCGGGCGGCAAAGAATTGCACAAAGAGGGGCACCTGGGTGGCTGAGTCATTAAGTGTCTGCCTTCGGCTCAGGTCATGATCCCAGGGTCCTGGGATGGAGCCCTGCTTCGGGCTCCCTACTCAGCAGGAAGCCTGCTTCCCCCTCTCCCACTCCCCCTGCTTGTGTTCCTGCTCTCACTATCTCACTCTCTGTCAAATAAAAAAATAAAATATTTTTTAAAAAATTAAAAATAAATAAGAATAAATTTAAATAAAGGAATTTCACAAAGAGTAGAGCCACAAGCAGGACAGAGTGGGTTCACTCTCCCCGGGAAGAGAGGGGCCAGACACCAAGAGACATGTGAGCCCCAAGTTTCTGTCAGGCTGGGCCTTTTGAGGGGTGTTGAAGGTCGTGAGAGGGTTGCAGCCTCGTCCATGGGGGTGAGGGGAGGGTCTGATTCTTGGCCAAGTAGAGCAGCAGGTGACAGGTTTTCGAGGTGCTCTGACCCGGATGTGGCGTATGGCCAGGCTAGAGAAGAATGTGTTTTGTAGTTGGGGTCTGCTTTCAGCATGTAGGGCACTGTGACCTAGAAGAACAGGCAGGGCCAACTGCAGACACTGGTGATGGTCACTGATTATCAATGCAGTGAAAAGACAACATACTGAATGGGAGAAAATATTTGCAAACTGCCTAACTGATAAAGGCTTAATATCCAAATTATTAGAGACTCATACAACTCAATAACACAAAAACAAATAGAAGTTACAAAATTGGCAGAGTTCAGAATAGACATTTTTCCAAAGAAAACACGCAGATGGCGAACAAATACATAAAGAGAGGTTCAACACCATGTGTCACCAGGGAAATGCAAATCAAAACCCAAAGAGATGGCACCTGACACCCGTCAGAAATGCTAGTGGTAAAAAGACCAGAAATAACACGGGTCGACCAAAATGTGGAGGAAAGCTCTGTTGTTGTGATTGTCAATGGGTGCAGCCACTATGGAAAATGGTATCAAGTTTTCTCAAAAAATTCAATGTGAGGGGCTCCTGGCTGGCTCAGTCAGAAGAGTGTGTCACTCTTGATTGCGGGCCGTGAGTTCGAGACTCACGTTGGGGATACAGATTACTTCAGGGAAACTAATTTCAAAATAGGATAACGATATCATCCAACAATTCCGCTCCTAGGTGTTAAAATCAAGGAAACTGAAATCGCTAACTCATAAAGATACGTGCGCACCTGCATTCATTGCCACATAATTCATAACAGCCACGGGGACGTACTAAGTGAAATAAATCAGAAAGAGAAAGACAAATACCACGAGTTCACATATATGTGGAATCTAAAGCAAACCAGAAAACAAAAAACACAGTAACTCTCACTCATAGATACAGAGAACATATACATGATTTGCCAAGGTGAGGGGCAAGAAGTGGATAAAATAGGTAAGAAGGTAGAAACTAACAACAAAAAAGGGAATATTAGGGCACCTGGTTGGCTCAGTCAGTTGGGCGGCTGCCTTCAGGTCAGGTCATGACCTCAGGGTGCTGGGATGGTGCCCCACATCGGGCTCAGCAGGGAGTCTGTTTCTGCCTCTCCCTCTGCCCCTCTCGCCCCTGCCTCTATGTGTGTTCCGCTCTCTTTCTCTCAAAGAAATAGATAAAATTTTTAAGAAGGAAAGTGTATGTCAAGAGGGAAATTGGAGAGCATATAGGACATCATTACCTTCTAGCTTCCTATAGTTCAAGTACCTTAGTGAATTTATTCTATTCCATTCCATTCTTCTGACCTACCAGAATTCCTCATTATGATGTGGTTGGATTTTTTGAGATGAGTTGTCAATTTCCGTAACTATTTCAGATCAGTAAGTACAGAGTATTTACCTTCCTAGGTGTGTGAGTCTTTGGATATTTTTATAGCCTTTTGAAGTATAATTATGTAACCGGAACTTCCATAGATCTAAGTGTATAATTTCAAGACTCTTGATATATGTATATACCAGTAAAACAATCACTGTAATGAAGGTGATGTACATGTATCCATCACCCTAAAATGATTTTCCCCCTTGTTTTATACTCCATGATTAGCTTGATGTGTAATTTCTGTTGGTCCCTGCAGAGTCACTCTTTCCTCAGGGAGAAGTTTTTCGATATGATGAAAGAATTGCTTGACTTCATTGCTCTGTATTGATAGGAGCTCATAATAGAAGTTGATCTAAAGATAAATTTTGTGGGCGACTGAGTGGCTCAGTTGGTTGAGTGTCTGACTCTTGATTTTGGCTCATATCACGAATTTAGGCTTGTGAGATTGAGCCTTTCATTGGGTTCCATGCTGAGCAGGGAGCCTACTTGGGATTCTCGCCCACCCCACCCTTCCCCCATGCCCCCGCTCATGGTCACTCTCTATCTCTCTCTCAAAAAAAAAAAAAAATATATATATATAGAAAAGAACAAATTTTGAAAATTAGCCATTTAGAAAGTTCCAAGGCCTTTCCTGAAGGAGAGACGATACACTGACAGCTTAGAGAACCTAGCCCTTCTTTGTTGGCCAAAGCCTGAGTGGTAGGGCTGGAATATGTTGTGAGAGTGGTAGACCAAAGGGACAAAATAAAGATATGGATTGGACGGAATTCATTGATAGGAATATGCTCAGTTAAGAGGTGGTATTTAAAGGACAACCCTGAACACTTGCATATGGTGTTGATATTCTGGACGCTATATTGGGTCAATAAGGGCCAAATGTTGAGATTTTCTTGGATATACCGTTGAGGAAGGCAGGAAGAAGTCAGGAAGCATAAGAATCAGGCATGTTGAAATGGTTCTGTGATGTGCTGTGTGCTCAGCCATCCCTAATCATGCTTGCTGAAAGACACAACCATCCATGCACTACCTTCATCAACACACTTACAGAGGCATGGATACGGGAGGTACCAGTGTCCTCGAGGAGCTCTGGGGGAGCTGTCCTACACTGCAGGAGAAGATGGGAGGTGAGGAGTGGCAGGAGAGGATGCTTCAACGAGCAGAGTCAAGGTGTGTGCAGTCACCCAGGAGCCACGGAGCCAGAATGGTAACCAGAGGATGGGAACCTCAAGGGTGTGTGCTGTTGGACAGTTGATCAGGTCTGTCCAGATTGAAATTGTTGGGCAATGTGGCAGAAAAAATAAATATCTAGATTGAGTAGTTACTATAGTGAAGAGTCATGGTCTCTTCCCCAGCTATGAGCCCTAAGCCAGTGTGGGCCTCTGAGCCCCTAGAGTGAGGGAGAGACTGGAGCCCTTTGGGAAATGACCCTACCACCTTCTACATGTGTGCCATGCATCTCATCTCCCATACCCAACTTTCCCCAAATGCCCCTCAAGACACAGATATTCACTGGTGGGACCAACTCTGGAAAAAAGGGAAACACTACCTTTTCTGGGAACTTTTATAGAATGATTCCGAACATAGGTTGATGCCCAAAGACCAGGACTGTTACATGACCTGCCCAACAGTTGGAGTAGGGGCTTTGGAAGGTGTGGAAATAGAAGAAGCCTTGTCCTACATTTAACAGTTTGTTCACTGAGACCAGAGAGTCATCCTGTGCTCATTTCCCCAGGTCAAGAATGTGGAATGGAAATACTCATATTAGCACTGGTGGAATTCCCACTTTGGTTTCTGAACCTTGGTCTGATGTTTATTAGGAAAGAGGAGACTGAAGAGAGGCCTTTGGGACCATGCCCTTCCTCAGACTAAATCAGAGGCCATGCAACATCCGTGGAGGGATGGGAGAGATTAGTAAAATTGTGACGCTCTGCAGAGAGGCAGAGTGGGTTATTCCAACCACTGTTCATTTTACTAGGCTGGTCTACTGTGGATACCAGATGGGTCACGGAGACTCACACTGACTTTCACAAACTTCATGAGATGAAGACGCAACTGCATCTGTGATTCTGTCTCTGGATTGCCCTGTGGAGGCAAACTGCCAGGTGGAACCCTGCAGCCCACTGGGAACAAACCTTTTACCCTGAGGTACTGCTTCTGAAGGAAGGTCTATGACCAGCAAAGTCAACAATACAAACTTAGAGCCACATTAGGTCATCAGTGATGAAAGCAGACTAGACAACTGTCAAGATGGGCCATCTCTTAAGAAAGGAGATTTGGTAAATATACTGAAAAATATCCTAGCCACAAAAGACAGCAGACACACAGACATACTGAGCTGGTGAGTGGCTGAGGGGAGAATTGCCTGCATCACCTGTTGGTTTTAAATTATCGTGTGCCTGGGCAGCCACGCACCCCAGTCGCTATTTTGAGTATAACCTCCCTCATAGATAGAAGTGAATTCTCTTTCTTACCCCAACAGAGCTGAACTTGATTGGACATTCGGAAGCGGTCACTGAAAGGAAGTAAAAGACCCATGGCAATGATCCATGAGCAAAACTTCTCTGCTACCCCGGGACACCCATTCTCCTGTTGGCCACACAGCTTCTGCAGCAGAGCTCACTCTGCAGATGAAAATGGTCAATAGGAGGTCGCACTGCCAGGTCACTTGGCTCAGAAGTCTCCCAGAGTAGCGAGGTCTGGTAAGCACAGCCAGTGGGCATCACCATTGCCGAGGCTACTGATATGTGCACAAAGCAACACGGAGGGGCACAGAGAAAACTCTGTGGTCCAAGGCCTGGGATACCACATGGAAAAGGGCAGCCTTGGTTTGCTCTCCCATCCCTCCAAATACCTCCTGCCTCCCTGGGGGATGGGCCAGGTGATGGGCTGTACATCTTCCTTCTGAAGAAGCACCCAGCCTTTTGGATTTCATGGGTGACCTTCCTTCTCTTTCTCTTTACGTGCTGATGGTGCTCTGAGGGAGCCCTTAGCAACCACCATTTGGGCAAAGAAAGGGCAGAGACTGACAATCACAGGTGGCCATGGGGAGGGGCAGGAAATGAGAGACTAAGAGATGAGAGCTGGCCAGCAAATGTGTTACCCTGAGGAGGAGCATGCTAGAGAGAAACACAGGTTTCTCACCTGCTCCTCAGAACCATAGCTCTAGGGTAGGTGCAAATTTCTGTTTGCTATGATTTCCTTAGTAGAGATAAGAGAAAAAGACATAATGAGATGAGAACACAGACCAAGGACCCCAGAGGACCTGGGTCCACCAAGTTCTCACATAGGATGTGAGGAATAGTTCACATAGTGCAAACCTTTAAATAAACTACCATAGACTCATACAAATTATGTCAATAAGCATGTATAATAGCAGGGAAAATAAAAAACATAAGAAAATGAATATATAGTGAAAAAAGAGAAGTAATTCTTTTTTTAAGTAAACTATTTTTTTGGTAGGCTGCATGCCCAAAGCAGGGTTTGAACTCACAACCTTGAGATCAAACCTGAGGTGAGATCAAGAGTCAGACGCTTAACCAACTGAGCCACTCAGGTCCACCACCCTTTTTCTAAGGTATTAAGTAAAATCTCTCTCTCTCTCTCTTTTTTTTTTTTTAAAGGAAACTCTACACCTAACATGGGGCTGAACTCAGGACCCCAAGATCAAGAGTCACATGCTCTACAGACTGAGCCAACCAGTCCCCCTTACTAGTGGGACTTCTGTTGAGTAGTTCAACCAAGAGAACTACAATGCTATAATCCACATGAGAAAGGCAGGTGACTTTTCTTGTCTATAAGGAATCGAAGGGAACTTGCTCACTATATCTGGGGCCAACAGTGTAAAGACGCCCTATACTCTAAATCCCTGGGTCTCCCATCGTCCAACACAGCTTTCCCTTCCTTGTAATACCATGAACCCGGTCGGCACCCTCCAAACACAATCACTGCCTTCGTGTTCAGAAACGCAAGGCCCCACGTTCACGCCGGGCAGTGGCAGTCTAACCAACCCAGACGGCCTTGAGCTGATTGTCTTTAGCTCTACAACAGCAGAGCTCCGGCTATGCCGGGTACCACTAGTAGGGGAAAGGGAGCTGCCGGCCCCATGCGGCTCCAGACTCGTGAGGTTGCATTTGCTTTCGCACCAGGGCAACTGGTGCACAGGGCAGAGGTGGGGCAGCAGTGCCCCCTGTCATCCAGGAGGCCAGGGGGAGGCCCCAGAGGTAGGCAGCGGAAGGACTGTCTGAGTGGTCAGCGTGCTGCTCTGGACTTCCTGCTGAGGCACCGTGCTCCCCACGTGGATGTAATTCTGTGTAAGGACACAAAGTTGTTGTGCAGACAGGACCTCTGTCTCATTGCATACTGCGGGGAGGGATCCTTTTACTTGACGTATAAAGAGAGACCCCAGTGAGTAGTGCTTAAGCGTAACTGCAGAACGTATTAAAAGCTCCCTTTTCTCCAGAATATGGTCCATTCCCCTGAAAATGAAAGGCCTATTTTCAGGCCACTGCAACTCTGGCAAACAGACAATCCCACTTCTGGTGGGTGCAGGGCACGTGGACAGAGCGGGTGACAGAAGGGAGGCAGCCGTTCTCCTATCCAATCCACGCCTCCAGGCACATCCTTGAGGAGGAGGAAGGCCACTATTTCCCCTCTCTCTCATCCACAGTGGCGCAGGTGTCCAAGAATGACCTTCTCCAGCATGGTTAGCAATGTCCGACAGCATCTGCTAACTGTCGGGAACTGGTTTCAGTCTTGAGCTGCATGAATTTCACCACCTGAAAGGTGTGGCTGTGACATACTTAGAAAAACTACCCATAGGGCCACAGCTTATTTGGATACTGTGCCAAGCAAGGGGATAAAAGCTTTGGACAAATTAATGTGTCCCAGTTAGCATAAACAAATGGAAGGAAGGAAGGAAGGAATGAAGGAAGGGAGGGAGGAAGGAAGGAAGGAAGGAAGGAAGGAAGGAAGGAAGGAAGGAAGGAAGGAAGGAAGGAAGGAAGGGGCGTGGGTGGGAGGTAGGAGAGAGAGAAGGGAGGGAGAAAGAGAGAGAAAGAAAGAAGAAAGAAACAAAGAATGAAAGAAAGAAAGGAGGAAAGAAGAAGGAAGAGAGGAAGGACGGGAGGGAGGGGCGTGGGTGGGAGGTAGGAGAGAGAGAAGGGAGGGAGAAAGAGAGAGAGAGAAAGGAAAGAAGGGAAGAACGAAGGAAAGAAAGGAAAGAAAGAGGAAGGACGGGAGGGAGGGGCGTGGGTGGGAAGTAGGAGAGAGAGAAGGGAGGGAGAAAGAGAGAAAAAGAAGAAAGAAACAAAGAATGAAAGAAAGAAAGGAGGAAAGAAGAAGGAAGAGAGGGAGGGAGGGAGGGAGGGGAAGCAAAGGAAAGGGAAGGACAGGAAAGAAATCCAAGATGTATGCATAATATGATGCAGACAATCGGTATGGAGACATGCAGGTGATAGCCGGTTAGGTCTAGCAGGTAAAGACAGGAGAGGATATGGGGTGCTCAACCAGGAGAGACAAGTAGTGTGAGCCAAGAGTGTCTACACTGTCGGCCAGCAGTGTTGGGCTTAGTCGGGTCCCCTGAACCTGCAGTGTTCCCGGGGTGGACAGAACTCACTCCCCAAAGCTCTTCCTGAGGTAGCAGCTTCAACCTGGCTCAGTCACTCCCCACTTAGACTGGCTGCCTGAGGGGGTCCCGGGCGACCATACTCAAGGCTCTGGGGTGTCTCTTACTGGAGGAAATCTCAACCCGCCCTGCACTGCCTTGCCTGACAGGGCAGTCCAGATTCGTCTAGGTGTGTCTTCAGGGGGAAGAATTGGCACATTTGTGCAGACTAGCACTTGCAATTAGGCCGTGTCCTGGTCCCCCAGTAGCTCACTACTAGAACTCAGCCTGTCCCTACAGATGCCCTGGTTCAGATTCCAGGCTCCCCTGACCCGTGTCTCCCACACATGTGCAGTGTGTACTCTGTTAGCTGGCCTTTGGCTCTTGGGGCCTGTTAGGCTCAGGCTGGTCCCTAAAAGCTGCATAGCCTCCAGAGGGGATAGTGCCCAGTGCCCCCCAAATCTTCCTGAGGGCAGCTTTAAACGGGGGACTACCAGTCCCTGTTTGGACTGACTGCCTGATAGTGGCCTGGGCTGACCAGTAAGCAAGTCTCTCAGTGAAGGAGACCCTAGCCAGGGGGCTGGGCTGATGCAGGCAGGGCACTACCGTTTCCTCCATCTCGGCCTTCAGGGGGACCATGCCCACTTGTGCCGAGTAGAGCTTCCAATTAGGCACAAACTTGGTCCTGCAAGAGCTGAATCCTGTGATCAGGACTCCCAGACCCTTGCCAGTTCCAGATCCCTCCCGATACTGGTCTGCCCAGCTGCACATGCACAGCATGTAGTCCTTCTGCAGACCTTGGGCACTGGGGCCCTCCGGGCCTGGGGAGTTAGTGCTTGTCCCCAGATGCTTGCACAGTGTAGAGGATGGGAGAGCCCCCCACTCCCAATCATTCTGAGGCAGCAGGTGCCAATTGGTGGCCCTCAGGCATCAGCTGAAGCTGTTACCCCTGAGTCTGCATTGTGTGAAGCGAGGTCTCAGTTCCTGGATCCTCCAGGAGAAGATCCATGCAGGGATCTGATCCGTGCTTGAATCGAGGCAGTCAGCAGGGATGTAGCAAGCACCAAACACCTAATTAAAGTGGAAGTCCACTCTCAAGGTGGGAGGATGGGGAAGTTCTGGGAGGTGGGACTGATGTAGGAAAGAACGTTAGGGGTCAAATCCAATGGCCAAGAAAGAATTCTTGAGACCTCTTTGGTGCAAAAAGGCAGTTTTATGAAAGCTCAGGAAGAGCTGCACTGGGGTCACGAGGAGTGGCCCATTATATACTTTGAAAGCAGCGCTGTCAAATTAGCTCAGACACCATCCATCTTAGAAGTCAAGCCTCAGCTTCCTAAGGCCCCCTGATGTTCACTTCCCAACCCCAGAAGGAGCTTCTGCATGGCTCCATCCATTTATGCCCAGCTGCTATGAGCACACTGCCTTGACTGAGCTCAGCCCAGGGGCCACAGCTCTAGGCTCTTCCCATGCAACTTCAGCAGGAGCCACAGGTGGGCCCCAGCTCACAGGGATTTGCAACTCACCTGAGCTTCCAGCGCACATCCCTGGAGCTAAGAAGGAACAACATTTCTCAGGATGGGCCATCCTAGAATCTCACCTTCCTACTCCCTTCTGACCCCCAGTGTCCACTTTATCATAGAATCTTGGCTCTGCCTCTTGGAAGGGGTCCCTTTCCTTCATACCCAAGCAGACCCTACAGTCTGCAAGGTGCACCTATCCCCACCTCTCTCGCACTGTGCCTTAATCTGTGCAAACAGCCAGGCACCTAAAGCACCCAATGTGAATCCCGCATGTCTCCCCCAGTTCCTGCGGTCTTTCTTTGGACAAAACAGAGCCCACCATCCTGGCCCCTCACACCACTCTGCCTACCGTCCAGACCCCACACCTTCTCACCGAGAGACAGGGAATGGTCCCATGCCTCTGGACTCCCTCACCCTGGTTCCCTGGCCTTGTAACATTTGCTCTTCAAAGGCCTGTATCACACAGGAACCTGTTGCGGAGGAACACCTGCTGTCATGGCCACAGTTTGAAGCCATAACATCAGTGTCCAACCTCAAGTTTAGCAACAATGTGCTGGGAGGTCTCAGCCAGAAATGCTTTATGCAGAAATACCTGGATATAGACACACTGCTTCTCCTTTTCTTCCAATAAGAACGGTGCTGACCTCAACAGCTGTGCTTGAGATCCAGAAATAAGTATGTTTGAATGTTTTGACGGGGCAGGCAGGTTATGCTGTGTCAGCTGGGCATGATTCACCAACACTTTCTCAGAGCCATGGAGACCCCTGCCCTGCATCAGCAGAATGTGATGACTCATGAGGGACAGGAGTGACTGCAAGCCAGGCTGCACATTACAATCCCCCA